CCCCGAAGATTCTTGCAGCCAGTGTATGCCACACAGCCTTCTGAGCATATCTCTGCAAGAGCCATGGCACTCAATTCAGGACTTACTCTCTGGATGGGACGTCCAGGCTTTCTGAGCATATGACTGTTGAGGGAGGGAATGAATGAGTTTATGTGGGTGGGTAGGCAACCAACCAGTAGTGGCTACAGAGAAGGAAAAGTAGAGGAGGTGGAGGGGGGGGGGGGGAGAGGGAGGGGGAAGAGGAGGAGAAAGAGGGAGGGGAAGGGGAAGAGGAGGGTGAAAGTGAGCAGGATATAGATATAGATACTAACAGTTTCATATAGATACAAACTGTTTAAGCTGTATCTTAGGTTGAAATGCTGCTGCTTTACTTATCATTGTCATTCGAAAGGCTGATTTAACTTTTCCATAATTAAAATTAGCTATTTCTTAAGCTGAATGATTTTCAACTGTTTTTAAATCTCTATTATTATAAAGGAGGAAGTCAACATACTATCAGAAAAATTTGGCTTATGACTTTTCTCTTTTAAATAAAGCAGAATTATTATTTTTAATAAAGCAGAATTAGAGTCATGAAGGATCTGTGATGAAATAACAGAATGGTTACTTCATTATTATTTGTCTTTATTCATAAATTAAAAAATCTTAACTGTAAAAGTAATATAACATTAAAATAAATCAGAAACCAAACACATGAAAACAAAATCTCACAATCCCACAGTCTAATGACTATTATTGTTTGGCAAAATTAACCTTTTTTCATATAATTGTATGCAATTTTGTTGAATGATTCATATTTCAAAACAGGAATATCATGTTCAGTACAGAATTTGAAAACAAACAGAAGGGCATAAAAAGAAGCTTATTTTCTTTCCATCCTTATCTTTCAGTTGTTCTGTCTGCACCCAACCATACCCCAAACCACTATTGCCAGTGTCTTCCTCCCCCCCATACATACAGACCCTAGCCATGAATAAGGAAAGGTAAGCGATCACGATCACGACCATCCTATTGTTCGTTGATTGCCTTGAGCAGGCCCCAGTAACGTCTCCTTCATCCTAGCCCAGAGATTCAAGGCTCTTTCAGGCTTAGGAGAATGAGACCCATCATTGTTACTGGTATTTGGCATATTGGTCACGCCACGGGGAGTTTGCCAGACTCTGCCGTGTGGGCAGGTTACATTTGGTAGCCTGCCAGTTTGTCCAAAGTAAAAATGAGATAATAAGATTTCCAGCTTCCGGGAGCTGGGTTTTATAGTCTCTGGGTCTCGGCCATTGATGGGATTACACGGTGCCAGGGGGCCAGTTGGTGGGTGTGACCCCTGCCTACTGGAATATGGAGGATCTGCGTGGAGGATGCTCAGCCCTGATCCAAGCAGGCTTGGAGATCTCAGCCCTGGAACCCGCATGCCTTTGTTCCTCTGCCAGTACCTTCATGCGTGTGGAGAGTAGTCTCAGCATGGTGGTGGCTGGTTCTGAAGGTCTTCGGCTGTTGGAGCTTGGTCGGGGCGGGGAGGGTAGCTCAACCCGTTCCCTTCCAAGGGGCCCCGGCGAGGACAGCCAGGCGCGAGGGCAGGAGACTGCGCTGTTCTCTTCCGGGATCTGGGTTTTATAGTCTCTGGGTCTTGGCCATTGATGGGATTACACGGCGCCCGGGGGGCCATTTAGTGGGTGTGACCCCTGCCTACTGGAATAAGGAAAGGTAAGCACACATACATTTTCTACTCTGCCAATAGGCTTACCTCCCCCTCAGTGATAGTGTGTGTACCCTTTTGCATCGTGGGGGTTTTATATTTTTTTTTGTTTATTTTTTTTCTGGGCCATATCCAGCAGTGTTCAGGACTTACTCCTGGCTCTATCTATGCTCAGAGATCACTCTTGGCAGGGTTTGGGAGGCCATATGTCGTGCTGGTGATTGAACTCAGATTGGCTACATGCCAGGCAACTGCTCTACCCATGTACTATCCCTCCTTCTCCTTCATCTTAAAAAAAATCCAATACATACATATGTTTATGTGTGTTAGATAGTTCTATACATGGTGCCTTTCAATGATAGCATCATTATGTATTCACATGTTGCCATGTACTCTTTATAAATCATCATCCTTAATGGCTGTAAAAGGTTTGAGTAGATGATTCATCCATTACTTTAATAAATATTTATCAAGTACCTGCCACATTTGTAGGTCGCTAGTGATTCTCAGATTAAAAGGAGGTGTACCACACCGTGAAAGGAGTCTGCAAAGGGATGCGGACAGGCAGGTAAACAAGTCATCGCAGGCAGTCTCTAGAGTGCCAAATGGATGAATGCAGGAGGTGCTGAGTAGAGGAAGAAAGGGCCCAGAAATGCTCATCAGGAGTGCTGGAGTATGAGTCCCAGAAGTCAGCTCACAGATGAAGGATGAGCATAGCACCTGGACAGAGGGTTGGGGGCCTTGGACTGGCACAGTGCAGCCCTGGAGGCCCCTCGGGACTGGACCTGGCCTCCTCCAGGTGCTTCCTGATATGACTGAGTCTCACACAATAGATAAAGGCTATGACATGCAACCTTTCACCCTATTTTGGAGTGTCTCTTTGGGTAGATCCCCAGAAGTGGAATTGTTGAGACAGAATGAAGGGACATTCTGACCTGCGAAGTGCAGACAAAATGTTTTCCGAATAGATAATATTGCTCATAAGGATACCAGCAATGTGCAATCTAAATGAGAACTTCTGGATTTTATATTTTTGCCTATTTCTATGATTACTATTAAGGTTATTTTTTCCTCATGTATTTGTTACTGTTTCTGTATATTCTTATGTGATTTCCTGCTTATACTCAATCTCAAGGAGTCTATATTTCACTTTAGTCATGAGGCCTATATATAATAAAGATTTTTAGACTTTTTCATGTTTGTTGTCAGTGTATCATTTTGGCTTCAGTTGTGTTTAAAAAACGTTGATATGTAGAAGTTTTAAGTTTTACCTAGTCATATGTATCAATCATTTCCTTGTAATCCTTCCAAGTTAAACATTTCTAAACAGAGATTTAACAAATATTATATTTTCTTCTGATTAAAATATATTTATTTTGTTAATTCTCCTAGAAGCTATTTTTGATATATAAAATCAGAATTCTGCCCATTATCAATGAGTTATCTGAACTGCCCCTTTTCTATTGATTTTTATTTTTGAGATAAGTCCTTCTTATGCATTTATCAGATCAAATTTCTAGACCTATTCTGAATTGTGTTATGAGATCAGCACAGACCTGTCTTTTGATTTATCCATTAGTCTGCAACAGGAGTTATATTTCAACATACAGACTTATAATACAGAATAGGTTTAAATAAGGCTTCCTAGAGCGATGCTGTTGAGCAGGGATGTCTTGCTGTAGGTTGGTCTTGTCTTTGAAACTGTCAGACTGGTAGTAGTTTGCTTGTTGGCGAATGGCATTTCTGAGAGAGATTCACCCATAGGGCTAGACGCATTTGCATCTGTGTCAAAGTCTTGGTACTAAATGGGTTGATTCTCCCACTTTGTGGGTACTGAGACTTCTATCTCTGTCTCTTTCTGCAAATCCAGCCTGAAGTTTGGCTTATTGCAAGAAACCCCTTACCTCTGCAAAGCTGCGCTGCTGGTAGTAAGCTTGTCAGTCCGTTTTTGAGAGAAGTGAGAGATGGTTGGTGAGGAAAAGCCCATGCTAAAGTTTTTAAAATCAAGTCCATAAATTCGCTCTAGGAGTTCAGGCATATTTCTGTGCTCAGCTGCAGCCTTCATGTGTTGGTACCATCTTTAGAGCTTTCTGAATACTTAAAAACCACTTTCCCACAGACGTTTGCATGTAGGCTTGGACAATACTCCCTTCTTCCTTGGAATGCTGGTATCCTCTGTGTCTCTCCATGCAAATGCTCCAAAACCAGAGATAGCAAAGATTCACATCTCCTCCAGGAGGTTTCTAAAAAATTGTCAGCATGTGTGCCATTCTTCTGGTAGGTCAGTGGTTGATGATCTAAAAACCCAGTTATGTTCCCCAGAGGAACACCCTAGAACTCTGGGTTCTTTCTTAGAGATAAGAACCAGTCAGATCTTCCTAGAAAATGTCATTTATAAATGTACCTGGCTGGACACCTTGATCCACCTCTCTTGTGCGGGCCTAACTACAGTGAGGAAGCATATTCCTCCTGCAGGTGGGGAGACAGGTTGGAAGTGACTCTGGGTTACAGGACACTTTGCAAGCCTTCTAGTCCTTTGCAAGCCTTCTAGTCCCCTGTCCCATTCTTATCTTTACCTGCCCAGGACCTCCTGTTCTCAGCACTTGCTTCCGGGCCATGTACAGACTCTTTCCTGTCAGGCACAGATTCTGGGAGGGGATGCAGAACCCTACCCACCATCTCTCCAGCTCCTCTCCCCCGCACCCCCTGCCTCCTCCCAGGCAGCACTGAGAGCCCTTGCTCCTCCCCAGGCCACCTTCTCTCCCAGCACAGGATTGCAGGCAGCCAGTGAAGGAAGGAGCAGGGAGGTGGAGGAAGGTGGATGAAAGGGGAGGGTGGAGGAGGTGAGGAGGGTGGAGGAGGAGGAGGAGGAGGAGGAGGAAGAGGAGGAGAAGGAGATGCAGGAGGAGAAGGAGGAGGAGGAGGTGGAGGAGGAGGAAGAGGAGGAGGAGGAGGAGGAGGAGGAAAGTGGAAAGAGGAGGAAGGAGCTTCGGGAAAGGAGGAATGAGCATGAGAAAGGTGGAGGAGGGAGGAGAAGGAAGGAAGAGGCAGAGGGAGGAGGAGCGGGGATGGGTGCGAGGGAGGTGAAGGAAAGTGGAGGAGGAGGAGGGAGGAGGCAGAGGGAGGAGGGAGGAGGAAGGAGCGCGAGGAAGGTGGAGGAGGGAAGGAAGAGGAGGAAGAAGGAGGATGGAGGATGGAGCCGGTGGAGGAAAGCGGAGGAGGGAGGAGGGAGGAGGAGGAGGAGGAGGGGAGGGAGGCTGAAAGTGTGAAGAGGAGGGAGGGCGGCGAGCGGTGCCCCGGCAGTGCGCGTGCCCGGCGGGGCGGGCGGCGCGGCGCGGGGAGGAGCGGCGGGCGGAGCGAGGGCGGGGGCGCGCGGGCCGCGGCGTCTCCCCAGCATCCCCGCCGCCTCCGCCCTGGCCCGCCGGGACGCGCGGCCGGACCGACACGCGGGCTCGGGCCCAGCTGGCGGCGCGCGCGCTGCCGCGAGAAACGCGCTCCGGCTCGGACTCGGGCCGCCGGGCCAGCGTCTGCGTGAGCCCGGAGGATGTCCGGGAAGCACTACAAGGGTCCCGAAGTCAGTTGTTGCATCAAGTATTTCATCTTCGGCTTCAATGTCATCTTCTGGGTAAGTTGGGGGCGCCGCAGCCCCGCGCGCGGACCCGGGCCCGCGGCGCACAAAGGCGGCGCGCGCGAGGGCGCAGGCCCGGGCGCCGGGACCGCCGGCCGCGTCCGCCCGCAGCGCCGCTTTGGTGGGATGCGGACGCCGCTGCCCGCCCGCTGGCCGAGCCGTGCGCGCCGAGGGGCCGGCGGCCTCGTGGACAGCGGCGTCGGGGGATGACAGGTCGCCATCGAGGTGCTCCGCCGCCGAGTCAGTGCCACGCGCGCGTCCCCCCGGCCCCCAGCCCCGCTGCTGGGGATTGTGCAGAGCGGCCGTGCGGGGAGACCTTGGAGAGATGCAAGGGGAAGGCTGGAGACGCGTTCGCGGGGCACGGGGGAGCAGATGCGTGCACACCCGATTGCGAGATTGAAATCACATCTGGCACCGCTGGCACGGCGTGCTGGGCATCTATTGTCATTAGATCCGGGCGCCTGCTCTTTTGTTTTCGGTCTTTTTTCTAGCCCTCACAGACCAGACAAAGAGTTGATCAGGACAAGGGAAAAACATTGATTCATAAAACGGTCTGGTCTTTCGGCCCGCTCATCCCCTTCCCTTCCTTCCTCTCCTTTCCCTTCCTCTCCCTTCCCTTCCTCCTTCTTCCCCTCTCTATCCCCTGCCTTCCCTTCTCCCCCTTCCTTCCCCTACCCCTCCCTTTCCCCTTCCCTTCTCTTTCCCCTTCCCTTTCCTTCCCACTCCCTTCCCCCTTGGGATGTAAAGATGGTGGCTCTCTGGTGGGTTCTCCAAGTTTTCTTTCAGTGTGATATAAACAATAAGTCAGCCACTAGATCCAAAAATAATCCACAGCATTCTGAAAACAGGGTTGTGTATTTTGGGTCTCCTTTTAATTCTGATGACACACACGCACACACACAGAGCTTTGAGAATAGGTGTCAAAGTTTTTTTTTGCTTTTTTTTTGGGTCGGCTATGCACAGGGGTTACTCCTGGCTCTGCACTCAGGAATTACTCCTGGCGGTGCTCAGGGGACCATATGGGATGCTGGGAATCGAGCCCGGGTCGGCTGCGTGCAAGGCAAACGCCCTACCCGCTGTGCTATCGCTCCAGCCCCCAGGTGTCAAAAGTTTTAAAATATTTTTACCCACGTATGTACCAGGATATTTTAAATTTTCAATTATTTTTAAGAGTATCTTGCATTTGTCGTGGATGCTTTGTAGAAGGAACTTATGTGACCATATCATCTCTCCTTAGGACTGATAAAGAGAAGGAGGGAAATAGGAATACATATCAATTTCAGTTCTCTACAGGCAGATTTTTCTTTTTGCCAGTGGTAATAATTTCTGTTAGTGATTACTCAGTTTGTAATCACATAGTGCTTGCTATAAGTATAAAAAGAAATTTCTTGTTTCTTTGCTTCTGCTTCCTACCCCTACACACACACACACACACACACAGAGAGAGAGAGAGAGAGAGAGAGAGAGAGAGAGAGAGACACTAGGGATATTTGAAAGTGGTAGGTAGTCACATTTGTGAGTGAGCGAGGTGTTTTGATTTTATTGGATGTTGAGTTTGGAAGACAGTTAAGGACTATCGAAATGGGATTGGAACTGACTAAGTAGTAAGCACAAGATTTTACCTAATTGCTTTTCAAAATCTCTGTGTGTGTGTGTATTTATGTGTGTGTGTGTGTGTGTGTGTGTGTTAGCTCACATCTTAACCACCAAGCAACATAGAACATAGATTACACAAGGGCTTTCTCTTCAGTTTCATAGAAGAAAGTAGGAAGGAAATAAAGGGATTGGGGATGATTTCCCTGACAGTTGGTATAATTTGTGTGTACAGATAAGCACATTTAGTATTTTCTATAGATTGCAGCAAACCACCTGTAATTGTTGAAAACTTTTTAAAGACCTACTGAACGGTTGCAGAGATAGTTCTAGAACAGAGCTCGTCTTGTCTGATTTTGAAGACCATTTCTCCAAGGGGAGGGCTAGGTAGAGTGAAATTATGAGCTGACTTTGGCTGTGGAACTAAAGCCACTTCCCCATGCAGAATTGTTAAGCAGACGCTTTTGTTGTAAGGGCTTTTCTCTTCTTCTGTTCTCTGCACTCTCTTTTCTTCCTTTCCCTTACTCTCTTCTCTTTACGCTATTTTTCCCTCCAAAGCTATTCATTTGGATGTTCCTTATAACTGCCCGATCCCACTGCCTGCTTCAGCATTACCCCAGTTCTGAATGTCAGTGTATTAGTATTATGGTTGCCTGTGTGGGTCAGAGGGGAGGGGAGATAGCCGTGATACTTGGGTAAAGTCATTCAGACTGAGGTGGTAGTGGTTGAAGAACTTGGTGGGTATTAACTGCTGCTGTGGAATTTCAGGCTTCGATTCTCAGCAGTCACTGCCCTGTGGCTCTGAGAAACAGCAGCCTCAGTGCTGCTTACAGCTGTGGAGAGAGAGCACAAGCTCTGAGCTTTCATTTTTCCCAGTGCAAAACATGGAATAAATTTGAGTTGCAGGAAAGAAAGTAGGAGGTGAATTCTGGTGAAAGACATTGAATATATTGTGCAGTCCCTAGAGAATATATATATATATATATGTATATACACATACATACATACATACATGTATGTTTTTTCCTAGTAGGTGGTTTGACTCCCGACTACTGAGTTAGCTGTCAGTTTTGCGGCTATTAAAATGTTGAGTTGTAAGTTTCTTACTAGTTCTGAAAAATTATGAGTCTGTTGAGTTCCAATATTCTGGGGAAGAAAACTGTAAGAGATGGACATCTATATGTAATGAAAGCAATATATTAAGTCACTGGTTAGATTGTAGACATCTTCTCTTATTCAGACTTGTCTGGAGATAATTTTTTTTTTTTTTTTGCTTCTTGGGTCACACTCGGCGATGCACAGGGGTTACTTTCTGGCTCATGCACTCAGGAATTATTACTCCTGGCAGTGCTCAGGGGACCATATGGGATGCTGGGAATAGAACCTGGGTCGGCTGCATGTAGGGTTAGTAGCAGATACACAAACTCCTTTCTTCTTGGTTATTGCAGGGGTGGGGAAACCTCATTCTCCCTTTCCTGCCCGAATGAATTCAAGTTTCTGAAGGGAATTGGCCTTATCAAGGCTGTCATCATGCTGGGACACTAATTGGAAACCCTGAGGCTGCTTTGGGAGTTCGGTTTTAAAGTTGCTTCTTTTGGGTACTCAGCCCCACATCTCATCAAAACAAAAGATATTTTGCTCTGGAATCAGAATTTAACTATTGCTAGACAAGTGGATTATTTCAGTATTCTGCTCTGTTGCTGCAATGCAAATAAGCTCCAATCTTTGTGTTTTAAAATAAGTCTCAATTGTTATGTTTTAGGATTTGGTTAGATATTTGTTGACGAAAGCACACTGAGGGCCTGCCAAATTTACAGGAAACAAAGATCTTCTACCCTTTGATGGAGAAGTGTCAAGGTCATATGGATTGTGGCAGTATCTGGGAAATATAGCCTATGCTTTGAGACTTCATAAAAGAAATGTTTATAGCTGAAACACACCATTTCTTAATGGAGTTGTAGTTTCAAGGATTCCTCAGAAGTGTGTTAACTAGATTGAAATATCAATATTTAACAAAGATGAATGTCCTTGCTGTTAGTCTCCTCTTGTTTCATTATTGTTTGGTACTGTATTATAGAATACCTTAACCTAGTACCTTGGCATCATTATTACCAGGTAGAGCAGGTACACTTAAAGCCTTCCATGGACCTTGGATTATAAAACTGAGATTGCCGAGCGGTGGTGGAGAGGTGGGAAGAAGAGGCAGATTGGAAGTGACTAAAGGGCAGTGGTGGAAGGTCTGGGTACATGGGTGTTGGTGCAGGTGCAGTAACCTTATGCTAAAATCATGAATGTTAACACACAGTCATGTTACATAAACTATAATAAGAATATTTATCAAATCTGCCAAAGAAATGAGGAAATGGGGTCCTGTGATGTCATCGTCACGTGTGGAAAGAAAGCTGTCTGGATCCATGCACCCTGGGGATGACTCTGGAGAGCCATATCGCTTTTCTCTGCCGTGTGGGAGTTAGCCTGGGATATTTGAGGTCAGCCTTTTCTTGTGATGTGCTTGCAAATGTTGCAGTGTGGCTTTATTTGGCGTTTTATCCGGGGCTAATGGCAGGGTATTGCCTCTGATTTGTCCTCACAGATCTTGAATTCAGAGGTGATAGTTAGGAACCTTTGGGTAGGGCTTGAGGTGGGGAGCCTTGTCTCAGGAATCACTCTACATTTTACAGTGTTCTGAAATGATGATACATCAGAGCTTATAAGTCATAATTTTTGTTTTAATTTGCTAGACATCTGTTAGCTCCGATGGCAACCATCTGGGAGTCTAAATTGCCTTTTGAATTACAGAGAGGTGGTGGGAAGAAAGCTAAATTTGGTTCTGAAAGTGTCATATGGGAAGAGTGTCAGGAAGGTGCTCAGACCTCAGTGGGGCACGAAGTTGAATAGAGACTTTTTCTGGCTACTCTTGGGTCAGTGAGAAGACACCAAGGCAGTTCATTTAATATGACTGGACTATGGGAAGCTAAGGGGGGAAGTTGAACAACCAGATAATGTTCAACTACCATAAAATTGCACCAAGGTAAATTCATTTATATAATCGCTGTCTCAACCTGCTTGCAATAAGAGTCAATCTTCAGGTTAAGGGTAAAAGCAGCTTGTACATTGCCAGAACTTTGTAATTACTCTTTTTTCTAAGCATCTCAAAGATTTCTCCAGCATATTATGACATTTTGTGACAGATGAAGAAAATGGAATTAGATATGTGGCCTGACTTGAGGTCTGGAAGAACACACCAGGATTCGCTTTCTAGAGTTGTTTCTTCCATTGAAAATAGCTCTAGCTTGCCCTTTGAAATCGACTTCCCTGGTATTCTAAAATAAAGGATTAAATAGGCATTTTTTCATGTTGAGAAGTGATAACTTTTAAAAAGCATGTGCCACTCTTCACACCAC